AATATGCATTAGAGTTTTAGCATTAGGGTAATGAATAGAATGGAACAACTGACATAAGGGAATGTAAAGGATTGGAATAACAAAAGTCATCGATGATAACTATATATATATATATATATATATATATATATATATATATATGGGCAAGGAAAGGTCAGAGGTTATTAGGTATTAGAATAAAGGGTAGCATAATAGTTGAGTGGAGTTCAGAGACAGATAAAATCAAAATGTGATTATGTTAGAGGTAGTTGAAAACAATTAGGGTGGGATTGCGTGATGATTGAATAATTTATAGACGTAGTTGAAAAACATTTAGGGTGGGATTACGTAATAATTGAATAAGATTTGGAATATGCTCAGAAATGCGGATATGCACTCTTCTCTCGGTTCTTCCAATGTATGTGCTTCGGCACGTACATGTAAATTGGTAAATGCAGTTGGAGGTACTGAGAAAAGAGGACTTATTTATTTATGGGGAACCTCGAACAGAAGAAGCTTAAGCATGCTATCGATAGTACCACACTATACTGCAGATACATGGATGACACCTTTCTTATTTGTGACAATCATAAACACTCCATCAATCTGCTCAATTTATTTAACAAAGCACACAAGGATATAGAATTTACGATGGAACATGAAGACGAAAATAAATTCAATTTCCTAGATATTGGAATTAGACGAACACCAGCGGGTACATTGCTAAGATATGTTCACCACAAAAATACTTGGAGTGGACTGTATCTCAATTACTACAGTTTCTGCCCGATGAGTTACAAAAAGGGTATTGTACGAACCCTTTTCGACCGCGCACGCAAAATCTGCTCCAATGAGTGTCTTGAGGAAGAAATAGCCTTAATCATCAAATGCCTACGTGGAAATGCATATCCAGAGAAGTTCATCCACAAATATGCAAACACCAATCGTCGAATAAAGTATGATCGAGTTGAAAAGAAAACATGCTTCCTATACCTACGCTTCAAAGGTGACGAAATCGCTGGAATAATTAACCATAGACTTAATTCCGCGTTGAAAGTGACCTACCCAGCAGCTAAATGGACGACGGTGTGGGAAACAAATTGCTCACTCAAACAAACCAAAATCGATAAGTCCTCTTTTCTCAGTACCTCCAACTGCATTTACCAATTTACATGTACATGCCGAAGCACATACATTGGAAGAACCGAGAGAAGAGTGCATATCCGCATTTCTGAGCATATTCCAAAGAAACTGAGGTTGCAAGGGTCCAAGGCTCTCAACAGTGCGATAGCTCGGCATTTACTCGACACCGGGCACAGCATCGACATTTCTAATGCCTTTAAAATCATTAGTAAACAAAGAAGTACAACTGCTCTCCGGTTTGCTGAGGCGATCGCGATAAAAAAACTCAAACCGGACCTATGTATTCAAAAAGAGACAGTGATAAACTTATTACTACCTTGGTAACCCATTTTTGTTTTGTTTCAGTTTTTTTTTTATTAGTTCAATTTTGGTTAATATTCAGTTGTTTTTTATACCCAATTCTTAAACCACCCTTTCTCTCACACATTTCCGCTCATTTGTCACTCCTAATTATATGAACTATCCAAATCTTATTCAATTATTACGTAACCCACCCTAATTGTTTTCAACTACGTCTATAAATTATTCAATCATCACGCAATCCCACCCTAATTGTTTTCAACTACCTCTAACATAATCACATTTTGATTTTATCTGTCTCTGAACTCCACTCAACTATTATGCTACCCTTTATTCTAATACCTAATAACCTCTGACCTTTCCTTGCCCATATATATATATATATATATATATATATATATATATATATATATATATATATATATATATATATATATATAGTTATCATCGATGACTTTTGTTATTCCAATCCTTTACATTCCCTTATGTCAGTTGTTCCATTCTATTTATTACCCTAATGCTAAAACTCTAATGCATATTTGGTTGTAAGCAGCTGATGAGAAACCACGAAATATAATGAATTCATATTATTCTGCATCAATATTTGTTCTATCTTTATTTAGAGCGTATTTATTGAGAAGCAGTAACAGTGTCACGATATGTTGTACTCAAAACGGAAGGAAGTCGAGTGTTTCAAGCGTTCAAAGTAATACAGTTAAACAACAAGTACAAATGTTTAATGCCTAATGTACAGAATATGAAAATACATGCGAAAACTATGAAAAATTATTTACAAAATAGGTTTTAAGGTTCTATCTCCACATAGCTCCCCCCAGAGTGTCCGGAGGTAACACTGTTTACAATATGAAGAACAGAAATTGAGAAATATTGTATATAAATGTACATAAAATAGTATTTACTGTAATAACGGAAAAAAAAATTGGAAATAGGAATAAATGGCACGTTAATAATATACGCTATGCTACGCAATTGAAACTGAAGAACAAACATTACAAAGTTTCGGTTTGCTAATAATAATAATAAAATGTGCAAAACTGTTAACAGGGTCATAAAATAAAAAATAAAAAAAATGGATGAATTTAATAAATAGTTAATTAGCATTCACTCGTTTATTACTATGACAATTTTTTCTTATTAAAAAAAATTGGCAAAACCAGTGAAAACAAATAAATGTAGTTATTAAATGTACATGTAGGGAAAATAAATATCTTTTATTAGAAGATTGCGTAACTTCACAAAGTAATGCATACAACTGATTGATTGTGTTAGTCCATAAAATGTACATAACGTTTGGGTTTTTTAATAAGTCTCCCAGATCGTGTTAAACAAGAGGGTGTAGTGCTGAGTTTTTCCTCTTCCTCTTGTTTCTTAGCAATTGATGGGAGTGATTGTTTGTTCGCCGTATTGTCATCAGTGGCTTGAGGGGGTTCGTAGAAAGCTGGTTTTATTCGGTCTATGGAAATTGTTTCATTGTTCCCGTTTTTGTTGATAATGAAATATTTGCAAGTGCGTTTTATTACTTTATACGGACCTTCATATGGTGGTGTCAGTGGCTTTTTCACCGCGTCTACTCGAACAAAAACAAATTTGCACGTTTCTAAATGTTTGTCGAGATGGACTGGATTGTTGTATTCTCGCGGTGGTATTGCTCTAATGTTCTGCATCACTTGTAATAGGCAACTTGCGAAATGAGTAGCATCTTCTTGCGTTGTAGGTTCACAGTTGACTAGTTGGCCCGGTAACGTTAGAGTTGTACCATAGACTAACTCGGCGGGTGTACAACCTATGTCTTCCTTCACCGTGGCACGAATCCCAAGGAGAACAAGCGGCAAGGCATCACTCCAATTTGTTGAATCAGTTTGAGCCATGAGTGAGCCTTTTAATTGCCGGTGAAATCTTTCAACCATGCCGTTTGCTGCTGGGTGGTAAGCTGTGGTTCTGATGTGTTTTACGCCCAGAAGTCTTGTGAATTCCTGAAACAGGATAGACTGGAACTGGGGACCACGATCAGTTGTGATGGTTGTCGGTACACCGTAGTGCGATATCCATCGGTCTAGAAAAACGGATGCTACAGTCTCAGCTGATGTGTCTTTGATGGGGCATGCAATGGCCCATCGAGTGAATCTGTCTATTGCCGTGAGGATGTGAGTAAAACAATTTGACGAAGGTAGAGGTCCTACTAAATCTAAATGGATATGCTGAAAACGTCTATCAGGAATAGGAAATTCTCCGATTGGGCTAATAGTATGCTTTTGGATCTTACTACGTTGACACTGAAGGCAACCACGTGTCCATCGTTTAATATCTGAATTGATTTTCGGCCAAACAAAACGTTCAGTTATCAGCTTTGTAGTAGCTCGGATACCCGGATGTGATAAACCATGGAAGTGTTGGAATAACTTTTGGCGACATACAAGTGGAACAAAGGGACGATTGTTACCTGTTGATGTGTCACAGATGATGGATGCGTCGGAGAATGGGATGGGTACAGGTTGGAGATTCAGGCGAGACTTTTCTTTGCAGGTTTTTAACTCTGCATCGTCTGCTTGAAGTTTTGCGATTATTTCTAGGTTGACGTCATGGTTGGATGCAACTACATTGATGTCTTTTCTCGACAACGCATCTGCTACAACGTTGGAGTGACCTTTGATAAACTGAATGTCTGTGGTGAATTGTGAGATGTAATCAAGCTGTCTTGCTTCGCGTGGTGAATGTCTGTCATACGACATACTAAAGGAGTAGCACAGGGGTTTGTGATCCGTCATGATGGCAAAATCCCGGCCCTGTAGCAAAAAATTGAAGTGTTTAACGGCTAAATACATGGCTAAGAGTTCACGACCGAATGTACTATAACGCTCTTGTACAGGTGATAACCTTTTAGAGAAGAAAGCAATGGGTGTAATCGTATTGTTTACTCGTTGTTGTAATACTGCCCCTACGGCTTTTTGTGATGCGTCCGTACAGAGGATCAGATGAGTTTTGGGGTCAGTATTTAGATGTTGTAGCATGGTGGCGTCAGCAATCAAAGATTTGGCTTTTTCAAATGCCGTTTTGGCATCGGAAGGTAACTTGAATGGTTGATTCTTTTCCTTTTTGCTACCCGATTTATCGTTTTTTAGTAAGTCAGTTAACGGTTGTAGAACGTCGGCACAGTTAGGTAAAAATCGACGGTAAAAATTGAATGCACCCAGGAAGCGACGTAATGACTTAACCGAAGTGGGTTCAGGATAGTTGATGACGGCTTCAACTCTCTTTGGTAGAGGTTTAATACCTTGTGCATCAATATAGTGTCCTAAGAATTCTAAGGCAGACGTACCGAATATGCACTTAGTAGGGTTGATAACTACGCCATATTTCTTGAATCGTTCAAAGAGAATCTGCAGATGATGGACATGCTCTTCAAGTTAGGAGCTGGCAATTAGGACGTCATCGATGTAAACAAATACGAAATCTAAACCTCGCGTGACTTCGTCCATAAATCGTTGGAATGTTTGCGCAGCATTCTTAAGCCCAAATGGCATCCTCAAGAATTCAAACAACCCAAAAGGTGTGATTACAGCTGTTTTTTCAATATCCTCAGGTGCCACTGGGATCTGATGATAAGCTCTAACTAAGTCTAGTTTTGAAAAGATCAGTTTACAGTGCAGGTTTAGTGAAAAATCATGTAGATGAGGAATAGGGTATCTGTCTGGAAATGTCTGATTATTCAGACGCCTATAATCTCCACAAGGGCGCCAATCTTGATCTTTTTTGGGAACCATGTGCAGTGGCGAGGCCCAAGGGCTATTAGACTGTCGGATTATCCCTAGTTGCATCATATGTTCAAATTCTCTTTTAGCGGACTGCAACTTATTGGGTGGTAGTCTCCTCGCCTTGGCGCAGATAGGTGGACCAGTTGTAGTGATAGTATGTTGAACATGGTGTGTGGAGTTTTCAGTTTGATAATCGGCTTTTGTTATACATTCATACTTCGATAGAAGATCGGCAAAAGTTTGACTATCAGGTCTAAGCAATCGGACACCATAAGTTTCATAATTGCAGGTGATTGTTCCGTTGACCTGTAGACTTGTATTCACGTCGATAAGTTTCTTTTTTCTCATGTCGACAAGGAGATTGTAGTTACTAAGAAAATCAGCTCCAAGGATGGGTTGTTTAACTTCAGCTACGATGAAAACCCATGTAAAACGTCTACGGAGACCGATGTCTAAGATGAGTGATTGCTCGCCATACGTTTTAATAATAGAATTGTTTGCTGCCACTAATGATAATTTAGCGTGTTGGGAGTGCCGTCGTCGGGATAGATGAAGTGGGAGTATGCTTATTTCGGCTTCAGTATCGATTAGAAAATCCGAGCCCGAAATACGATCCCTGACATGAAATATACGGCTTGAGTTGTGACCAGAGTCAGGCGCCGCCATTACTGCCTGGCCGGACCGTTTCCCTGGTTTTCAGTGCTGGGTGAGGGGAATGCACACGGGCGTGTACAACACCGTGTTTTTGTGCCGAATTTAGTATGATACCAACAAATTTCGGATGTTCGTTTAGGTGAACGAGATCGTGGTCTAGAACGTGATCTCTGTCTAAAAAGGGGTCTTATTTGTCTGGCCTGAACCGTTGCTACAGTGGTTTGAATGGACTCAAGTTGATTCGTCAATTGAGATAATTGTCTTTGAATAGAGTTTAAGTAACTGACATCAGCTGCTCCATACGGCTGCATCGTATTTATATAGTGATTATCATGACAGACTACCATTACCTTATCCGCCATATCACTAAGCTTAGGTGGAGAAAACATTAGGTTAAAAATGAGCTAGAGTATCGTGTAATGAGCGAATGAACAATATAACAATGGTATAAATGCGAGATAATAAAATACTGGGCTCACCAAATAATTGTGGTGGACCAAAATGTATGATAACCAAAAATTAGCAACAAAAATATTACGTCTATAGTTTATGTAACAATTAACATTTAATAAGTTAATTACACACACAAATAACAAAATAAGGGACGTTACTTAAGTCTTCAGGCTATTGCGTGTTCGGCTGGGTTTGGTCCAAATAATCCACAATTATAACAAATTAGTAATCCCAATATGGACGATATAGATCCAGTAGGTTTACCAAGCGTAGAATTCAATAAGAATGTCGCAGTTATCTATAAACGTAGATGGTATGCAATTAATATTTCATTCAACATATTAGCAGACATGGCAGAACGATGCAGATGTGAATTAGAGCGTATTTATTGAGAAGCAGTAACAGTGTCACGATATCTTATACTCAAAACCGAAGGAAGTCGAGTTACAAGCGTTCAAAGTAAAACACTTAAACAACAAGTACAAATGTTTGATGCTTAATGCACAGAATATGAAAATACATGCGAAAACTATGAAAAAGTATTTACAAAATAGGTTTTAAGGTTCAATCTCCACACTTTCCTATTAAACGAGATTGAACTCTACTGTCTCCACATTGTCATATGAAAGTGTGGATGGTGTCTGATTCTCCTGAAAAGTAATGTAAAATTACCCTGACCCACAAGGGTATATTATATAACTACAATGTTTAACTGTGATCAACCATACAATATGAAAGTATTTTAAGAGGCATCTGAATCACTTGTCTTGAAACTATTATTTCATTGTTCATAACTTTTGAATGGATTAATATTTTTCGAAGGGGTTTCCTTTTTGCAAATTATCTAATGAAGTGCTATTAAATGATGTATAACATGTACATGTACATGGAAATTGAAATTTTACTATTTACACCTGCTCTTACTCGCCATGTTATATAGGGGTACTACCCCTAACTCAAAAGAAAGGAGATCTGAGCCAATGTGAGAACTACAGGGGCATCAGTTTGTTATCAGTACCAGGAAAAGTTTTCAACAGAGTGCTGCTGAATCGGATGAAAGACGCAGTAGACGCCGAACTTAGGGATCATCAGGCTGGATTCCGTAAGGATCGGTCGTGCACAGACCAGATTGCGACACTACGGATCATCGTTGAACAATCAGTTGAGTGGAACTCATCACTATACGTCAACTTCATCGACTGTGAGACGGCGTTTGACAGCGTGGATAGGAGAACATTATGGAAACTTCTTCGACACTATGGAGTTCCTCAGAAGATCGTCAACATTATCCAAAACTCATATGATGGATTACAGTGCAAAGTGGTGCATGGAGGACAGCTGACAGATGCATTTCCAGTAAGGACCGGAGTCAGACAAGGCTATCTATTCTCCCCATTTCTCTTCCTTCTAGTGATTGACTGGATTATGAAGAATTCGACATCCGAAGGGAAATGCGGAATACAATGGACTTCTCAGAATCAATTAGATGATTTGGACTTCGCAGATGACCTGGCCCTCCTCTCTCATACACACGAACAAATGCACATGAAGACAGCAAATGTAGCAGCAGCCTCCGCATCGATAGGCCTCCACATTCACAAAGGAAAAAGCAAGATTCTCAAATGCAACACGGAGAACACCGACCCAATCACACTTGATGGCGAAACTCTGGAAGAGGTGGAAACATTCAAGTACCTGGGGAGCATCGTTGATAAACAAAGAGGATCGGATGCAGATGTAAAGGCAAGGATTGGCAGAGCAAGGGCAGCATTTCTACAACTGCAGAACATATGGAACTCAAAACAACTCTCAACCAATTTCAAGGTCAGAACCTTTAATACGAACGTCAAGACAGTCCTACTGTATGGAGCTGAAACGTGGAGAACTACTACGGCCATCACCAGGAAGGTACAAGTATTTATAAACAGTTGTCTACGCAAAATACTCAACATCCATTGGCCGGATACTATCAGAAACAGCGTTTTATGGGAGAGGACAAACAAGCTTCCAGCTGAAGAGGAAATTAGGAAAAGACGTTGGAAGTGGATCGGACATACATTAAGGAAATCACCAATGTGCATCACGACTCAATTCTTAACTTGGAATCCGGAAGGGAAGCGGAAAAGAGGAAGGCCAAAACAACACACTACGCCGAGAAATAGAAGCCGATATGAAAAGGATGAATAGCAACTGGAAAGAACTGGAAAGGAAGGCTCATGACAGAGTTGGATGGAGAATGCTGGTGAGCGGCCTATGCTCCTCGACGAGGGGTAACAGGTGTAAGCAAGTAAGTAAGTAAGTACGTAAGTAAGTACCCATAACTCAGGGTCTGGAGAGTCGGAAACATGAAAATTTCGCAAATGAGATAAAAATGATCTTGGTGGTGTTGTCCTAGTATTCCGACACCAGACAATGGGTTTCAAGCGTTCTTACGCAATCACTGATGGAAATACATGTGATACATGTGATGTGAATGTGTATATGAATGGTGCGAATGGTCCACCAGAGTACTTGGTACCTGTGTGGTTGCGCCACAGGATTGAGCTGTGCTGGTCAGATTGTAGCGTTGAAGCGTGTATAGTGTCTGGTTCTCCTGTCTAGGGGCGGCGGGATTGAGCTATACTGCTCGGGTTAAGCCTGAGCTAGGCGATGTCTGACTCTCCTATTA